GCAATTATTGTCTGAGTTCAAGATCTTCTATAAATGCTACTTTTTTCCTAAGCTATCGAGCAGTGGTATCGAGTAAATGCTTCACTCACCGACTCCCATAGCAACAGTCATGTCATGACTGTATGTTTCAGATTTCTCCATTTTCTCAGTTTCATTTTCAGTGCTGGATGCAAAACCAAATACTACCTAAAAAATTGAGCGAAACAATTAGAAAATTAATGAATTCAATGAAATATTAACGGATTTTTTGATATATAAAAGTAATATTAGTGTTCCATAACCATCCCTCCACCTCCCCATCCCCAACCAAAAAAAAAAAGGGAAAACTAAAATTATATCAAATTGATTATATAATTCAAAATCAGTTGAAACTTGAAATTGTAGGTCAACCTGTAATTACTTATTTAGCTAGCTTAGAAGGTGAAAACATATTGAATGAGTAACGGAATTGACTAAAGATCACTCAGTAATATATTTAAAAAGAAAAAACCCTTTCAAATCTTACCTTGAAAACATTAACTTGTGTATGTGATACATCAATACCTCTCTCCACACCCTGAATCACAATCATAAAAACATTATTATACAAATAAACAACCCTCCAAAAAGCACATTAATTAGAACATATTCCCATATCCATATAGAAATGTAAATTCAATATTTTTGAATTTTCAATGTTCGTCTAGATTTTAATTCCTCTTACCGGTATAGTGACAGGACATCGAAGTCTTCTTTTTGGGGTGTCTGCATAAATAAAGTTTGCATTTTTCTGCATAAATAAAGTCATAAACAAACTTTTTTAGTCATAAAAAATGAATTAGCAACGAATAACAAATGTATTTTGTTAAGGAAACACAATATATGTTAAGATATAAATCATACATTGATTAAATAAATAACAAAATATAGACCAATATATAAAAGTTTGGATTATTCATCTTAATAAGATTGATCTTTTAAAATGGAACCCCAAATCACAATAAAATATTCGGGCATCTAAAAGCCATCAAGTGAGCATATGACGAAATGTTTGATATAATAATTCCTCAGGAACTCGACAAGAACACTACTGTTTAGGATTTAGAGTAACATAAAATAAATAAAAAATCAGAGGTTTTCAATGTATATAGCCCATGAACTTACTCTTGTATAGAAGCTTCATCTTCTCTCCGCAAAATAAGATCCCCAAACCACACAGGGACCAGGGACGTGTTGAGTAAGAACTCTTACATCTTTTCCTTCCAGTTTTCCATCTCTCGATCGCGAGCCACAAGGCCTGTCATTCGTAGGCATACATCACCAGGCACGTTCTGTTTATGGAGTGCCACAGGCCCTCTTAAGGGGCATGCTAATTATCAGTTATATATATATATATATATAGCAAGTTGGAAATGTGAAGTGAAGCCAAAACTTGTCGAGACTCTATTGAAGAACCACGATCCTTGCGGGTCACCAGATTGCAACCTTTTGTATGATCTAAAATATATTGATCTTTCATAGATAAAGTTTTCATGAGCGATGATGAGAAGTGAATCAAGTTTTCATGAGGGATGAACGGAAATGCTAGGTGATTTCGGGGTGTAATAATCTTTTTCTTGGATGCAAGAATTTAATATCTTTATAATGACAGTCACATGAACTCAAATCTAAATTCTGTTTTTGATGAATGATAGCAGTAATATGAGCCAAACTAAAATATAAAACACGTAAGTCCTCCATTTTTGCGCGTACAGCTTTTATTGATTAATCCAGCTAAAATACCAATTAGAACCGTTGGCAGATTGATAGAACTCAAATTCGAACAAAAGAATTTATTTGTCAAACACAACTTGTAATTTTATAGATAGTGCAGTTCACCAAAATTTAACCAATCTGTCACTTACATTGATGTAAACTATTGGGTCAACCTTTATGTACGTATTACAGTCAAATAAAGGAATTCGGAAAGAAAATTTTGCCAGTAAATTTCATTTGGGGGCACTGAATTTTGTTTTTACTTATGATCAGACTATTAAATTTTAATTGACGGCCCGTGTATCTAGAAGTCATGTTGAAAGAATAACAAAGTGACCTAATTGCTCGCAAACTAAAGTACATTGATGAAATTGCTTCGAATTAAAATTCAGTGACCTGATTGCAAGTAAGTGTAAAGTTCAGTAATGCTGGTTAAAATTTCCTTTACTCTTACCAACTTCCGCAAAATAAGGGTTATATGTAATAATTTAGCGAAGATTTGAATATTTTGTGCATTTGACAATAATAAAGTTGGGAACTAACTTGTTCGTCCTTAAAGTTCGAAGTCTAACTTATGACTAAGTGAAATATGCTAGAATTGTTGTAAAAAAATTATTTTGCGTAATATTTTTTGCAATAATTAAATTAAATAAATAGGAGATTAAAAAAATGATATTGTTAAATTTACAACTAGTGCATAAAACCAAAAAGAAACTATCTATCATTGTTTTCTCAGTACAAACTAGCCGGTTGCATCTATCTATCATTTATTTTCTCAGTACAAACTTCCCTAGCATTGTTACGGGTCCACATCACCCATTCTCATATTCCTTACATGTGCTGCACAGCCTGCACTACTTGTAAGTTTAACAATATCTTTTTTTTTTATCTCCTATTTATTTAATTTAATTACTTATAACCTTTAAGAGCGTAAGAGAGTTTAATAGTTTATAAGTACTGCATGGGTTGGAAAACTGTTTAGATTGATTGTGTAGGCTAAATTGTAAACAAAGACTGAATGAAGTGTTCAACATGATCAGGGCATGTGAAGAAGTTTTACTGTTTTATCCTATAGCATGTAAATGGGATTTTTACCTTTTTCGGCTCTGGACCGTTGGTGTTTTATTATGTTTTGAAAAATTGAAGTTATGTTTGTTCTGATGAACTTTTGAATTTGATATTTATGCAGAATAACATATGAAAATATGATGGCTATTTTTAATTTCAAATTGCCTATTCTTTAACTATGGCAATTTAGGGAAATTTCCACTTGTTTATAAGCTTAAACTGATCTGAAATACTTGTATAAAAGGGAAAAAGAAGACACTATTTCTCTTCTCAGTCCATTATTTTCATTTTTGAGCATGTTTAGCAAAGCTCAACTCTTTTTAAAGCTAAGTGCTAGGTGGGTTTCATCCCTGGTTTTTATAGGCTCTTGAGTGAGTCTATGACTGACTTCTAGGGCCTTATCATTTGGTTTAATAGTTGAGTTTCTCTCTGCTTAAAAAATTATTATTAATTCCCTTAGCGGATGTTGAAAATTATAGAGAACATGCAATTGCTATAGGAATGGCATGAGATGATTTTAACATGTTTTGAATGGATCTTGATATCTGAATTTTAAAAATGAAACTATTATCTTGATATAGAAATTTTTGCCTCAAACAAGACTTATGTTTGTTGTTTTCCTTTTGAACTGTTTCTCTTGGGTAAAATTTGTTGGAAATGGTGGGTCTATTGGGTCAATTTTGACCACAATTTTAAGTGGGACCCGATGTTCGATGTATCGAGATTAATGTTCAATTAAATTCTACGTTCCGAGTAGATGAGTGTAGAATATTTAATTGTGAAAAACTATTTCAATATGAATGAGAAATTATGGTTGAAAGTTGGATAATAAATAAGAGGATAAATGGGAAAGAATTGGAAAAATGTTCCAATCCCACATAGGTTGCAAACACAACCTTGAACCACTTAATAAGCTTCAAGTTTGGAAATGGGTTTGGGCCCCAAGGGGTACCAATAGTTTTTGAAAGGGGGGAGTTTTAGACAATGTCTAGACTAGTCCAAAGGCCACGCGCGCGCCGCCGCCGCCGCCGTCCGACCGGGTCGGGTGTGGGTGTGGGCCTGGGTTAAAATTAATTCAATTTTTTTTATTTATTTTCGATTTTAAAAAAAAAAAAAATTGAATTTAATTTTTTCCCTCCCTTTGACAGTTTACAAACCGACCCATCAGTTCGAAGAAACTGTGCATTAAGTGGCGTGAGGGAAACTGCCCAAAACCGTCAACTTTCTTCCTCTATTTGAATAGTCCTCATACAACACAAAGTAAACACACGATTTCCTGCATACATACATTATACATCTCTTCTTCCTTGCATCAGTCGGCAGAGAGTATTTTCATTCTTTCTGGTTCGTTGTCTTGCAGTCGAAGTGCTGCTTCTGCAAGTGTGATCGTTGTATCTTGGGAGACGCTTTACCACATACCGTAAGCACCGTGTGACGGGGTAAAAACGTCTTAAGGACAGAGAGCATAGTTCTCGCCTCGATCATCCCCTTTCCGAATTCTGGACTTCTTTCTTTTCATAATTTTTCGAACATAATTTTCTGCTTTACTGTTTCTGAAAATTATTTACTGCTTTACTGTTTCTGCAAATTATTTTCTGCTTTACTGTTTCTGCAAATCATTCATGGAAAATCTATTTCATACAAACTTTTAAAATTTTAACCAACAAAATTTATAATGGAGCTGAAATGTAAAATTGCAAATCTCACCATCCCCTTTCCACTAGGTTACTGGTAATTCTTCTCCATATCTTCTCTCTTTAATAAATTCTACCACCTCTGAAAATCTGGGTGGGGTGGCGGTTTGACTGTCAAAAGTATTGTTAGAAACTTAAAGATGTTTTACTTTGTGATATTGCACTGATTGTTCATTATTTTCTTACTGTAAATAGTTATAGTTGACTTTTCAATGTTTTGGAGGCCGAGAATATAGCTAATTGGCTGTTATTTTCCCCAACTTTGTGACATTTCAAGCATTCCAATGTGTCAATCCACCTTGATGTTTTGCTTTCACTGCTTTATAGGAAGTTACTCCAAATATTGCTTGATGTAAACAGAAACGGGATTTGTTTAACTTTTATGGAATCTTTTCATGGCTTAATTGAATTTAACGAGCTAATGAGTTTTTTCGTGTTTTATAGTATGTTTAACTTTATGTTGACTGACTGATCGTTTTATTGTGATGAACTTCGGGATGCGCCAGCCCCCCTAACATTAAAGAAATTGCCTATTTATCCCAATAACAATACTTTAAAATGAGCTGCATCCATGTCCAATAAGTCAAGAAGTATAATCTTAAGGATAGGAAGTAAATGACCCCAGAAAGCATATGGTACAAAACCACAGCTCGATTTTTATCGGATTTCTCATAGATTGACGTCTGTTTGCAGAATATGTTTTTCAGGAAGTGATCGGCATGGGAGATGATAAAGCGCTGTATTTGCTCTTCCTTGTGAGTGAAGAGAAAAATGTGGGCATCTTTGAATTTTGCCAACCTCGTTCAGAATATGTTGAGATCCAAATGCAGGATAAAGTCATGAAGATATCTATCATTAGTCCATGGGTCAAGTTCACTACCTAACTTTTTATCTGGATTGGAGTAAGTCCATTATTGGTCATGCAGAAATAAAGGGGAAACCTCGATTTTAAATTTCATAGAGGCTATCAGAATATTACAGGTTCACTTACCTTCAAAGTTGAGAATTGCTTGCAAATTTGCATTAATGAAGCCATCTAGTTTATAAGAATAAGACAGCAGTGTAAATCAATAGAAAAATGTAGAATGCTGTTGGTATACATGCTGTTAGTGTACATGTTTACAGTGGCAAGTTGATTGAGTTTACTCTCATTTTTGTGAATTGGATTTTTTTGATGTCACAGAGAGGTTGGCAAGGGACTGATTGGAGGGAAGACGAGAAGAATGGAAAGAGACTCAGCTTTCAGATTGGGGAAGATAACCGAGCAGAAAGGCATTTTAGGTCCCGGTCCAGCAGAATTGCGCTTTCCAGAAGCTCTGTGATCTGTTTCTAATTTGGGTTTTGGATGAAATGTGGATTAAAGAAGCAAAAAGTTAGCATAGTTGTTGTCTGGTGCATTTCATATCTGCTAATGCACTGTAGATACATTCATATTGGCACAGTATTGGACTGTACACTAAACTAAGATTACGCTTTTTTTCTTTTTTAATATTTATCAACGCTGTAAGAAACTGTATGTATGGGTTTCGTGTAATGAGGGTTTTGTTTGTTAGTTTCTCAATGCACTAAACTCTTCATACTTGCTTGAACGTAAAATGTTCTAGTTCACGTCATCTTCTTATTTTAGCTTGTAATTCTGAAAAAGTTATGACAAAATATAAATATCGAAACCCATATCAGAAAATATATAAACATCCTTTTATTTTATTTTATTTATTTTTTTGTGTCCAATACTTTCTTCAACCTGATCTTGAGTAACATATGCTCAAAAATTTCACCGATCACACAATATTTCAGATTATAGGCTGGCTTCTTTTTGAGCCCCAAATAAATTTAAAAAAATAAAATAAAATGAGGCAATAAGCTTGACCCATCCAACTTGTACAAACTTACAAAACGGATTGACCAAGTGAATTACCTATTTAACTTCCAGCCCATACTAATTTATTGAGATTTCAATTTCATCTCTACATTACTATCGGTATCACGCATTTGTCCCAATCAGTAGTTGATATAAGAAAATGTACCCAAAAATTACTAACGAAAATACTAAATTTAATTTCACAAAGAATTATTAGGTTACAATTAGAATTTTTTTTTTTTTGGAAGAAATGTTAAATTTTTTTACTTTACTTTAAATCTTCAATTAAACTCTCAGAAATTCTGTAATTTGGACATTATCAAGAGCTTAAAAAAGAAAAGCCACCCAAGCGCATGGGCTTTTTCTTTGTAAGTCCAGGCTCAACTATGGATTGTACTATGTTTCAAAAAAAGAATAAATACTATGTTTCAAAATATCTTTGAAGTAATACTTTCGCATATTATAAATTGAGTTTATTTGTTTGTCAAAAGTTGATGCATGCTCATTATTTATCGACCTGTGATAATTTTACGATTATTTATCATTCTAAAATCCTTTGATTTTCTGATGAAACTGGGAAGACTTGGAGAGGCGACAATAGGACCAAACTTTTTTTGGGAGAGACGTTGTCGATGTCAGCACATTCTTCGAAATATTTAATGTATTCAATGCTCGATATCTAAATACAGGAAAGACACATGGTTATAGAATCCTAAATTACGTACGACTCAGTGTGTGATGTTGTGGTCTGACTTTAGTAGTGAGCTTTATTTTTGTCAGCTAATTGAAATTAATTTTACTTTAGTTTAGCCGTTTCAAAAAAAAAATAAAAGACAAATATATTTTCTGGGGTTAAAAATAAATCCGATCGTCTCTATTCAATTTTTATTTTATTACCAGTCTTGACTTGATCTTGATACCATTGCATAAGGTTGCGATCAGAGTCGAATCGTGATGTTACCAATGAAACAAATATAATAAAATAATAATAATGTTATGAAAAGTAGTGTTACAATCTTGGCTTATTCAATACATCATTTAACATAGTTGCAATGAAATATTAGAGTGCGTTTGATTTGTCATTCTGAGGTCATTTTTAGCTTTCAATTTTCGAAAACACTCAAAAGGTGTTTCACTTATTATTCCAAAAATGCAGTTTTAAAAACAAGGAAAATTTTATAACACAAAACTCAAGACAAATTTTTGACGTTTTGAGTGTTTTTAATGAAAATTCAAAACAAGGAAAATGAGCTTAAAACTTTCCCAAATTTAAATAATTAATAAAATCACACCAAACTTACCTAAATACAAATACCCCTCTCCCTCTCCCTCTCCCTCTCTATCCCCACACTCCTCCAAAATGTTATAAAACTATTTCTAAAGTTTTTCAACCAAACGTTTTCAAATTTGAAAACATAATTATTGCACATAATGATATCTATAATATGATGTGGCAATTATCCGATTGTTGATGTGCGAGTGTGGATTTGAATTAAAAATTGAATCCAATGCCACGTGTAATTTAGGGACACCATTATGTAGACAGTTATATATATGTAGCATTTCTTTTTAATTTTTTGTTTTTAGAAATAGTTTTTCAGAATGACAAACTAGACACTTTTTCTACAACCTTAAAATAATCTCTCAAGACAGAAAACAGAAATACAAACTAAACACACCCTTAGCAGCTAGCTATAGATTTTCAGTTAGTTCATATATACTTGTTTATAAGTCATGATGGATATATAATATTAAAAGGAGAGATGCTTGGTCCATTTTTTACTGAGAATTTTATTCATGAAACTATTTGGTTTGCCTATAAGGATAAGACGGAATCGAGCTAGAATCAATTGGTTTTGATTTGGTATGATAGTGTTGTTTTTTATGTTAGGAAAACATTATAAGTTATAAATTGTCACAAGTTTTTTTCTTTCACTTTCGTACTTTTTTTAGGCAACTTATGTGTATGTTCACTTAAATTAATTTAAATTATTCGAATATCAAGATTATAAATATTAAGCTTAGAACATAATTAGAATTCTATTTTGTTGCTGGAACCGGAACCAATTAATTATCAATTTTAACTTACAAAATATCGAGGCTACTTGTTTAGTTTGATTCTAATTCAATTCAAGTTATTTAAACGTCTACCCATTTATAAGATATTTATTCACTATCATGTCTAGTTGTATTAAGTTGTCCTGCACCAAAATGTCTTTGTTTCTTGCTACTACGACAAGGCGCCCCCCTATTAACCCCTTGTCCAAGGGGTTTATTCCCTATTTATTACCCAAATGTGTTGTAAAAAGTAAAGAACAAATAGGTATACATATTTTTGGTTCAAGTGTGACTAGATAGATGCGATTGAGATTCATTTTTCTTGTGTAACTAATCCAAACTTTTAGATCATTGTTAACCCATTTTTTGATATTTACGACAGGCGTGATATATTAAATACAATAATATTAAACATAATTAAATAAGAAAATAATAATAAAATCTTATCTTTCTCAAATAAATAAATAAATAAATCAATAATCGCCACCGCCGTGGGATTTATTTGAGTTGGAAATCTCTGGAATCGACGGCTGTCTTTTGTCCAAAAAAAGACCTCCACTAGTTATCATTTCCCTAGGGTTTGCCAATTAACAAGAAGATTAGTTAGTACTAGATTTGAATTCATTTTATTATTGTTAATTATTTTGTAGTATATCAAAATTGAAAAAAGTGAATGATCTTTAAAAGTCGAGGCTATATTTGTGAATATAAGTATCTCAAAATCAAGATTCGACTAGAAAAATCTTTATACCTAAGGTTCTGCACACTCATTTTTATGAGTGAATTACCCATATGGTCACTGAACTTTGTAAAAGGTTTCTACGGAGTCACTAAGCTTTAAAAATTATCACATTCATCATTAAACTTTGCAAAGGGTTTCCACAAAGTCACTGAATTTTAAAAATCACCTAATTCATCACTGAACTTTGTAGTGACTCCTGGGAAACCTTTTACAAAGTTCAATGATCTCGTGGAAACCTTTTGCAAAGTTCAGTGATGAATTAGATTGTTTTTAAAGTTCAGCGACACCGTGAAAACCTTTTACAAAGTTTAGTAATGTATTGAGTGATTTTTAAAGTGCAATGATACTGTGGAAATTTTTTGCAAAGTTCAATGACCATTTGGGTAAGTCGCTCCATTTTTAACTACATATTCACACAATAAAATATTTTGCATGTAAACTAAAAAAATTTTCCTACTTTTTACCACACATTCTCCAAAAATGAACTATTCAAAACTTTATCTTTGTCAAATAATGATCATCAAACATGACCTAATATAATTAATATATTGTCAATATTCTCTCATAATTTTTGTGTCTTCTGCTTATGGAAAAATCTTCACACATTCAAAAAAACCCAAGATTATTTTGGGTTCGTTTGTCGGAGTGTGTTGCTCTATTGTTATATTAACATTTTGATATGACCTTGAGTCATGTCATATATTGACGGTATGTTTGGTATAATTTTTGAGAAATTAAAATGAGCTTATTAGATTCAAATGCTACTTTTAAACCATTTCGATTAATTTTATGAAAGTGTTTCTTCTAGTAAATTTTTTTTAGAGGAAGTTAGTTTAATGTGATTTTTTCTAAAAACACTTGAAATAATAAATTCTTTAAAAACTTAGTTGTTAAATAAAAATTTCCTAAAAACAGAAACGAAAACTAGGTCAAATTCACTCAGAAGTTGCATAACAAATCTTTGAATGGGTGTGAATGCTCTCTAAAGGTATAAGCCCTATTAATCATGATGGCGAGAGATTCCATTAGGGTGATTTCTCGAGATGGCAACGTGGGTCAGGGCAATGGAATAATGTAAACTTCAATAAAGTGTTTGATCATCTTGATTATAAAAAGTTGGACGGTAGAGGTTGTTGCTCGAGATGTACCATGATTATCATGTATAAGTCATGTCGATGTGATTGATCGATCGCTCTCGGGGAAATTGTTAGAAATGTGTACAAAAATCACATTCAACTAAAAACGGGGGTGGTAATGGTCTATTTCATCCTATAGATGGTAGAAACCTCAAGTTTCAACGCACACTACTAGGATCAAATTGATTTGGCTCATGTCGATTTTGACTTATCCGTCTAAATAGCTGTGAATAAAAAATTGTTTGAGACAATTATACAATAATAAATCTTTTGGAACTAATTAATAACTTAACAGTAATAGCCTAAAAATTTTGAGGAGAAATAAATAAAAAGTCTACTAGTATTGAATGATTGTCTCATTAGCGCTCGTTTGGCCCCCATTATTCCCTCATTATAATGAGAATTTAATTTTGGAATAGTAATTTTTGGAGAATGTGTAATTAAAAATGAAAAAAGAAAGAAAGAAAAGGGTTTACATGTAATATTGTTTAATTGAAAAATGTGTAGTTGATAATAAGAGATAGAAAAATGAATTATAATTTAATGGGGGTCAAACAATTGAGACAAATGATAAATTTTTATCGATTATTAATTAATAAATCTCAAATGAAAATTGAACATATGTTGACGAGCCAGGGAATATTGATGTATTTAATCCTTATTTGATAGAGGATTAAAATAAGATCTAAATTGGGGGTTTCATGAAATATTTAGTTAAAATTAATTGTTGGCTTTGATTTTGATAAAAATTTAAAATT